TAGAGAGAAATTCTCTAGCAACCATTTACAACAGCAACCAAAGTGAAACCAGGGATTCTTAGTCCCTTCCAGTTTCAAACATGATCTGTTTTAATTTCTTGGCCATCACATTTTTTAGTAGTTTTTTATAGGAAATAAGTAGCTAAATCTTTTATCAGTGGGAAGAAGGCATCGCATTTTTCAATTATCACCTTTTATCTGACCTCCCTCTTGTCTTACCCTACAAACACTCTCTTGAATTATTCTTAGTGTGTATTTTTCACTTTATTCTTTGACTTGCTAAATTGACTATTTCATTACTTTAATGTCTCATCATATTTGTACAAGTTTATAAATAAAAATGTGCTATTTTGATTCATGCATATTAGTGGTAATCAGTTCTAGTAAAATAACATCTGCAATAAATTACACTTTTGACATTTCTTTAGAGTGAATAGATTGTCCTCTTTTTGATAGCTATTGTTCTAAAAAATACAATAATTTCTATGTTTTGTTATTTTGCTTCTTCAAATTTATCAGGTTTTATTTACATTTCTCTTTCACATTCAGTAGTATTTGCTGCCTATCTTACTTTTTATCTCTTTAATCACACAGAAGTATAATACTTGCAAGTATCTGTCGCTTTATATTTCACACCTGTGTACTTCTTTGGATTATTAATCTAATTGTATATTTATAGGTAATTTTACTACAACAATATTGTAATTCTTATTATTAGAATATTAGTTAACATTTCTTATTTTTGCAGTATTAATTTTATGCTTTATTAGATTGTATCTTAAAATAGGACTTCTTTTAATTAAACTTAGTAAACAGAAATTTACAGATCACTTGTAAACACATGGTATAAATGACTCAGAAAATTTGAAGATGATTTAGGAAAGAGATGGGGCTATGTACTTGGAAGAACTGTAGTACTGGTACATTATAAATACACACCATCATTTATAGAAAACTAAATGACCAGGTGATATAATAATATATGAATTCATGCAATGCACTGTACATGAGGAAGTAACTCAGGAAATAACACAGTACATGGGCTTCAGTAGTTGGATCACGGGGAAGCAGTGAGCAACAGTGTGGTCAAGCTCGATTTCAATAAAAATATGTCTATCCAGCAAATAGTAGAAGGTGGGGTCCCTAGGTCCTGGGACCTGCTGTTCTAGGTGGTGACCCACTAGTGGAGACACTTGTGCAGATGATTGTATATAAAATCTTATTAATATAAACAAAGTAGGCAAAGTGAAGAGAACATTCTTTTGTGATGTTGGAATGAGAGACTGACAGTGTTGTCAATGACACTAGTGTTCTTTTGGTCAAATTAAGATGGAAATTCTGAACTAGCAAAGTGTAGCTCTGCTTGTGGTTCTGATGTCACACAATGACACTGGTTAAAGCTGCATGACATACTTGACCCAATAGATGCTACTCAGTGCTGCTTTTGGCCAACACTGACCATTTCAGACTTGTGCTACACAACTTGGGTTCACTAGACTTGGTGCTTGGCTTAGCTGCTGTTGGACACAGTAGTGTGATGTTACCATAAGCTGCTCTACCCTGTGAGTCCTAATGGCTGAGTTTACAATCCCATCGAGCTCCTCAAGTCATCAAATCTGTGATGCATATCCCGGACACAATGGATGGGAAACTAGATGAGACTGCCTGTCACTGTGTTACAATGGGGACATTTAAACTTGCAAATGTAGTAAAGGGAATATTATAACTTAAAACCTGTTAAAAATTGGAAATGCAAAATCTGTGTTTTCTAAAAATTGAAGAATAAATTTTAGGAACATTAAAGGATGATAATAGGAAGATGCTTACTGAGAGGATGTAAAGCTCCTATCAGGTAAATTGAAAGAGTCTCAAATGGGTATTCCAGGGACCCAGCTCTACAGGATAATTTTATAAAACAATATTCATTGGATATAACATGGGTTATATCTATGATTAAGCAATAAGGGCACCAGTATGTTTTCTTATATAATATTGATCCAATGAGAAAAAAAAAGTTATATAACACAGGTGAAGGGAAAAAACAAATATTTTTTCTAGGAAATGGTAGATCTGAAGGTCTAGGTCATCCACCAGGGTGAATGTTGTCTATCTCGGTTTTATTAGCCCTAAGTTTTGTCTTTCAAGGTATTATACAGGTCTGTTCATCTTGTCTTTATCTTGAGGCCTTGTCTTTAGCAATCACACTCTGATCACAGTTGAGGTATGTGTCACTATTTCCCTTGCTCTCTAGAGGTTTTAGACTTTCTAAATGCCTATAATATTTCAACTTGACTTAGCTATCTATTATAAGAGAAGATAATAAAGCAAGGTAACATCTCATAGTGCCAAAGACAATAGCTTTAGTTCTAATACAATTACACATATAAACACACACAACAACAATTTCTCCTTGTGGAAGAAACACCTGATAGTTCAATCTCCCCTGCTTTTGGAAAAGAAGATGGATAAACAAAGAATCTGCATAATCTGTGTGTAGATCATGACCATGAGTCCATTCATCCTAAAAACACAGCCCTTGCTAATAGATGAACAGTTGTTCAATGCCTATGTACTGTTCAGTTTAATCTGGATGCTTCATGCATTTCAGTAGATTATATTATCTTTATGTAATAGCATAATATGTGTTCTGCCCAATGAAATACAAACAAGAATTTAGCTTAAATTTAATTAAAATAAAAAAATTTTAAAAATAAATACATAATTTTTTTAAAAAATTTAATTAAAATTAATGAATATCTTTAACTTAAATGTTATCTACAAAGTCATACATTCTATTGATGTGTTTGTCAACAAAAATGGAGAGTATATTTTCTAAAACATAAAAATATATAAATAAGCATAAATTAAAACTATGATTATGACATTACTGGATAGCAAAAATTAGACAGTGGAAAACTCTCATAAGTGTTAGAAATTATTCAGACATTTACAAGATGAAAGGAGAGCCCTAAACATATACTGAAGAATAAATAAATATTAGATTCTTAAGTCTAATAAACATAAATAGAATAAGGGACAGCTACAAATATATATTCTTGAAAAAACAGATACTTCAGTTAGAGTAAATAAAGATTTGAAGTAATATCAATATCATAAAAAACAATTTTGTTATTGATTTGGAAATTTGAATAATGTACTATGTTTTAAAATATTTGGGTAAAATATTTAGAAATCTTACATTATTAAAAGTTTGATGAATCTTAACTCATTTAATAGAGTTTTTTGCATTTTAGAGCCACAGAATAATGAATTTTTTTTAAAAATTTTATTTAAAAGGAAAAAGAGAAAAAACAAAACAAAGCAGTGTAAGGGTACAATTAATACAGAACTACAAAAAAAGTAAGAAATCACCAGTTAATAGATTACAATGAAATTTTTTTACAAAAACAATTTAAGCACTGGGGATAAAATTCTGTGGCATAAGCACCTACCTGGCAACCACAAAGTCCTCAGTTTAGTTCCAAGTACAAAAAAATTCGAAAACATAAATTACTTTTATGATCATATGTTTGGAGTAAAAAAAATCAATATAATAATTCTTACACAAGTTTAAATAAAACACCATACTTGGAAAATGGAACTGTACATTGCAAATAATTTCAAAATATGGAAGAAAATTTTAAACTGATATTATAAGTACAGAGTTAAAACATTTGTAAAAAATATGGAGAAAATTATTGTCTTATAGAATGTCATCTTTTCTAAATCCATTTTCAAATTTTTCCTTTGGAACAGTTTTATTTTTACAAGTATAATAGATGAGGCAAACATTGTAGTCATTAAGTTGTTTTTAAAGAACCCTACAGACTCGAAGACCTCAGGAGAAAGGCAAAGAAGCTCCTTGCTGTACACAGAAAAGCAAGTAATTAGCATGGCTCACAGGGAAATACACAGAACCTCGCACTGCTCATGAATTTTTAAAATGATAAAGTCACAACTTTTCCAGATAAAACATAGCATTAGAGTCTAATCTTTGCTCATATACTGAATACATATTGATGTTACAGGTTTTATTACACAGAGATTATTAGTTATGAAACCTTAAAGTGAAAATAGAAAGCAGTAATGATTGTTAAGGAAAGACAGGAATTATGTTAATTACGTATACACATGTATTAATTACACTTGATCTGGAAAAACTTGCACAAAACTGTGAACAATTGTTCTCTTTTCCATAATTATTATTTTTGAAATTAGCTTCAATATTATTGTATATCTCTTCCTACAACTTAATGCTATGTCAGTATATTGTCTCAGAATACAGTATGTGAAACTGATGTCTTATTTTTTATCTGCACATTTCTTTGTAAGTTTAATTGAGTGAGATTTGTAAAACACAAGGGAATATTTTTAGGAACATGAAGTGTGTAATAATCAAAATATTCTACGTATTGTGATCTTCTGGTGATAATAGCCAGCATATATTTTATTGTCCTAAAAGTTTATATTCATGTTCTGGTCACAGAACATGGAATTATGATCTATTCATTCTATATCATGAATAAATCCTATGTAGGTGTGGATACTGGTCCGTACCCTATTAGTGCGTCAGTGAAGATGGGATGTGGGAGAAGTACTGGATCTAGAATCTAAATGCTGTGATCTTGACATGAAAACCATTGCTCCTGATTGACATGTGAAAGATGAAATGCTTTTTCTTTACTTAAAATCTCTAAAATTGATTATGCAGAAATATAGTATTGACACAGTTCAAAAATATAAATTTTTCTATTGTGAACACATTTTTCCTTAAATCACAGAAATTTTTAGATCTTAGTATTAGTACTTAATTCATTATTCCTAATTACAATATGAATTTGTAAGAACTTATCCCTCAAAATGTTCATCATTTTTTTGTTAAGTAAAGGGAAGTTGGAGAGAGTGAACAAAGATATTTTTTTTGCAGAATAGTACCAAAGAATTTCCCAGAAGAAACATCAAAATGACAATTGGAAATGTATAAATAACTGGCAACGCTGTTATTGTAATAGCCTGGAGCCCGTTCTCTTCTGAATAATTGTAACAATAGCATTTTTCACCTCTTTGTTTCTGAGACTGTAGATAAGAGGATTCAGCATGGGGATCACAATAGTGTAAAATACAGAAGCCACCTGATCCTTTCCCAAGGAGTAGGACTCCTTTGGCTTTAAATAGGTAAAGATTGAAGTGCTGTAGAAGATGGTGACTCCCAGGACATGAGAGACACAAGTAGAGAAGGCTTTTTTCTTTCCTGCAGTGGAATTAATTTTCAGAATAGTGGAGATAATTGAAACATAAGATCCAGATATAGTGATGAGGGACAATATTAAATTGCATCCAGCACAAATGAATACAATGAATTCAACCTCATATGTGTCACTGCAAGACAGAGCTAAAATTGGAGATATGTCACAGAAAAAGTGATGGATGACATGAGAGTTGCAGAAATACAGTCTATTCATGCAAACCACAACAATAGTGGACTCCACAAAACCAGTAACGTAGGAGCTAGTGAGGAGGGCAAGGCACAGTCTTGTGGACATAATGACTGGATAGTGGAGAGGCCTACAGATAGCTACATAGCGGTCATAGGCCATGGAGGAGAGAAGATAGCATTCAGCAGTGGCAAAGACTATAAAAAAGTACAGCTGAGCGAAGCAGCCCAGGAATGAGATGTGTTTTCTGGAAGTCAGTAAGTTCTGTAAGGTTCTAGGTGTGATGACACTTGAGTAGCTGAGGTCAAGAAGTGACAGGTGAGTGAGGAAAAAGTACATGGGGGTTTGAAGCTGGTGATCCAGGCTAATAATCAGTATCATCCCTGCATTCCCAAGTACAGTGACCAGGTAGATTAGGAGGAAGAGCAGGAAGAGGACCAGCTGTGTCTCTTCAGAATCCACCAGCCCCATGAGAATGAAGTCAGCTACATCAGTTGCATTCCATGTGCCCATGGTGTTCTGCTGGACTCATCTATTGAAGAATCAATTTTAATTATTATCTTTCATCCCCAAACATTTTATTTTATATGAATGAGCCAGTATGTCTCATAATTCATGTACATAGAAATTGATGAAACCATTGTGAAGAAGAGTGAAAAAAATAGAATGTCTATGCATAAGTATGGGTATAAATTTATGTTCATTTCTGATACATTAAAAATTACTTCCTGTTTTTATCATGAAAGTGATATTATTCTAATCTCTTTCAATTATTAACACATCAAGTTCTCTAAAATATTATGTCATTAGGATTCTTATACACACCCTTTACTTCAGAACAAGGACATAGAGATTCCTTGGGTTAAAGATCAGTTACAATGTTGGCACTGATTCTACACTGATATTTTAATTCCTGAGAATGGAACTATAGTACTGTGATCATGATCAGAACTTGTTTTAGCAATCCTGAATACGAACGTTATACCTGGCTCACCTAAAGTACATTTGGTTGTTTATTATTCATTGTTCTTTTTTCCCAGTAACTTCTTAGACTTAAATATAATTTCTCTTGGAAATTTAGTTGAGTCACATTAATTTTAAATGGTAACTGAGAGAAAATAATAAGATTTTTTGATGGGTTTTGTTGTGTACTCCAGGCAGAATTGAACTCACTTTGTTCCATAGGCGGTTTGTATTCGCTGCAATCCTCCTGCCCATTGAAAATCAAAATTCTTCAAAAAATTTCACTTTCTAAATCTGTTCATTGCTTGATTTTCTGATTTAATCAACTCTATATTCTTTGTTGTAAATCTTATTACTTGCGGTTGGACACAAATGACATGCGTGTGCATAATTTTTGGGGGGGTCTTTTTTTATCGGTAGTGGGGATCGAATTCAGGAACACCTGCTTGCAAGGTAGGCGCTTATGCCACTGAGCTAAATTCCCAGCCCCGTGTGCATAATTTTTGATAAAATCCCTTTGATTTCTTCTAACACAATCCCCTGCAGTTTTCAGAATGGATACTTACTGTGCACCACAGTTGCTGGAGAAAAGATCATCCAACGTTATCTGTTTAGACATTTGTCAACCACAGAATATTCTCAGAAATAAAAAGTAATAAATATGGAATTGAAGTGAAAATTATCTCAACCTATTTGTTTTTCTATCAATAGTTTATTTTTACGTTTTTATGCATTTATTCTTTTTTACTCTGAGGAAAGTTGTATTGCCCTAGAAGTTTTCTTCAAGTCTTGATCAGATGAAATCTTCACCAGGAAGTTTCCCCTGAAAATAATCCAAGGACTGAACTGTGAATGGAGACACACCAATGTGCGTGGTTCCTCTAAGTCTGGTAATTCTGGGGCGCCTCATATAAAAAGGGACTAGAATTCTGCACTGTTTGGTCATCCTCAGGGAGCTATTTCCAAGGAAGATTTCTTGGCCAGATTCCAAGTACAACATTTCAAAGATTTAATGAACAATGGATTTTGTTTTTTCTTGTTGAAAACCACATTAGTAACATAAACACATTTTCTCTTGTAATAGTGCAACTTTTTTTCCTGAACTTTACTTATTTACTGATTTGGATTGATGCATAGGTATACACACTTGCAAAGAGTAATGTTTACATTCAAGTAATGAGTTAGGATTATTTTTGAGTAGGAAGTATGAGAAGTTTTCTAAGTTTTAGCTAATCACTGACACAATGAAAGATGGAACAGTAAAATTTTAGCCTTGAAATGTTTCATAATTAAATGTATGACTTAGCCACATACATAATGCATACACACTAGGGAAAAAGAGAATATTGGAATGTAAAGAGGCAATTTAAACCAATAGAATCTTTTTAGCACTTTGTTTACATAATATTAATTTCCTCTGGTCTGTTCCTTTTTTGTGAGAAAAATAATTTTTAGTGTACTTTTAGATTAGCACAATTAGCATACTCTGTGTTCAGTAAATTACCTCATTTTATTAGTAAATATATTCTGTCATAACCTTTTGTATTAGGCAGCACACTGGTACATTATATGCTTTAGATGGCTCCCCATCCTTCACTGTTCTAATCTGAGCTGAGTGTTAACAGTTGAAGAATAAAAATCCTCATACCTCGCAGGGATGGGGCAGAGTCTCCATTCGGATTTGTCTGTGTGACTGGCTTCATCTAAGGGCCATGTTTGTATAACATTTTCCTGTATTACTGCTCCTGATTTTTATATTTTACAAAAGAAAATTAAGAATAAACATAACCAGTCAGGATACTGACACATATTTTGTAATGCTCAGTGGAAATGTACTTGCTTTGCTCTATATAGTCATGGTGAGGTGCCTTTAAATGAATAACAAGAAAGTAAAATGCAGTGGACAGGTAGAAATATTTTATTAAGGTTTAGGTTTAGGGTTTGGCTAATTGTGATGTTACTCAATATTTGTGGAGGCTGAATTTTAACTATTGCTTTATGAAGAAAAATGATCATCAGTAATATCAATATCCAAAGAAGAAATTATACAACAAAATATAATTTATATTTTTTTAAAAAAAAAATTCACCATCTTTCTGCCTATTTAGGATCAGAAGTGGAGAATAACTGGGTAAAATAGGCTGAGGAGACTTAAGAATATTTACATATGAGAATAAAAGAGGGAAGGAGGGGATACAAACAGGATTCTGAAGAGAAGAATAAGGAGAAAAAGCAGTGGAATATAAATGGAGAGAGAGAGAGAGAGAGAGAGAGAATAGTATGAGCAGGAGGTATGCAATTTAATAATTAGCATATACGTGTCTGTTAGAAAATTGTAGAGTCTAGTGGCTCTACAATACCATGTAGAGCCGTGGCAGTGAAAGAACCTAACAGATAACACCCTGTAGCAGCAAAAGCAATAGATTTGATGTGTAAAAGGCATGCACACATAAACACACATGCACACCCACACATACATACACACAGGAATCATTCCTCCTTGTGTGGCCATCTATGCAGGAGATCAGAATTCCCTCTAGAATTCTCTTCTAGGTCATGGCCTAATATATGAGGAAACATGAAAATCATGCTTTCCCTTTTCCCCGTATCTCCTTTTCAGCCTCTGTCCCTGTGAGAGAAGTTGTTGCTGGCAGTCTGATGTCTGTGCTCTGCCCCTTCATGGTTACCTCAATCCTCAGCCAGGTCTGCCAGGATTTGAAATGGAGCACACCAGACCCTCAGTCTCCTTTGTTTTGGGAAGGAAGGTGATAGGAAATGCAGTATCAGCATATTCTGTGTTCAGGGTGGGGCAATTTGCTCAGTTGCCTTAAATTCCAATGCTCGGTCTTGAGTGTTTGGATACCCAGTCTCTATATGCCACCCTGTTTGTTCTGAAGGCCTCAAATCAAAGCAGGGAAGCTCAGCATCAGTGTCTTCACACAAATAATGGATCACAGCCACCCAGCCTCTCTGCAGCACTTCAGGCAGCAGATGTTCTTGCTCTTTAAGTGGCTTCTGATAACATTTCAAAGGGACTTCAGCTCCTATCCAAACTATGAAAATTTAGGGTAATTATGTTAAATCCTGCCAAGATTTAGGCACTCAACCTTTCAAAAGATCAATACCAGCACAAGCCATGATGAGTCCCACAATGGGAATAATAATAATAATAATGTAATGCCAACTGCGTTAATTCAGAAAAACTGGGATATCTGTCTAAGAATTACAGTGCTGCTATCTAATCATGAGATCCCAGTACCTCTACAAATAAAGGAAATAATAACCAATCTCAGGAAAATGTGGAAACTGCCCCTTGTTTGAACCCTCTTTGTGAGAAAAAATATCATTGGTCAAAACATTGTCATTATAAAGATCATCAGGTTTTTCATCCACGAAAACTATAATTGGGGCCAGATTCCCCAAATCACAAGGGAAAGTCCCACCTTGAATCAGAACATCAGCCACATTTATTCAGTGCAAACTCCCAGGTAGACATGAGTCGTAAGCTCATTGTGTCTCTCACTCAGGGAATGCTATGAAATACAGGATGAGACTTCTCTGCTGGCCAAAAGGTGACTCTTTCATTAGGATACAAGCCAATTAAAATGTGCCCTAGAATCTGGGGACTATCACATTAGGGAAAAATTGGAAGAATTATAGGACACAGTAGTCTTAAATTCACAGCATGTAACTATAACGGCCAGGGTGGTTGATTATGATAGTGAAGAAGAAATTCAAGTTGTTCATTCTATGAATATTTAGAATTTTTAATGAGTTACTTGTGTTGCTCAGCTAATATGGCTCCTTGTAACAAAATCCTCTTTCATATGACCTAGACACCAACACAGGAAATGAGTTTCAGATAAACCTCTAATAAAGTAATTTATTTTACTCTGAATTTAACAGAGAGTAGACATACATATTCTATATTAAGAATCAAATTATTCTGTAGCCTGGTATGGTGACACACACCTGTAATCCCAACACTCAGGAAGCTGAGACAGGAGATCACTGTGGTTTTGAAACCAGCCTTAATTTCATTAGTTCAAGCCCAGCCTGAACTACACATTGAGATTATTCTGATGAAAGTGATATGAAATCATGGAGCTATAAAGGAAATTCCAGGAAAATGTATTAAGCTTTTTCTTGATCAAAAAAGGATACTTTGCTACTATATAACACTAAATTTGTGCAGTGCAAGTTTTTATGTGAGTGTTAATCTGTAAGGATAAACTATGTGAATTGTATATTTAAGCCTTTTAAAATACTATCTGAAATATGGTATGTTTTCAACAAAATATTACTATCTATTAATTATTTAGCAACACAAATAGCTGTTCCATTTTGTTGTGATAGTAATTTGCATTTAAATTATACTTACAGTATTGTGATCTGGCACCATGTAAAAAGTGATAATAAATTATTTGAGAAAAATAACTGCCATTACATGAAATATGCAATGATATAATAAGAAAAATAATTGGGCAGTTTTAAATAGTGTAAATGTCTGTTTGTGTTTGTTGTTGGATTGTATTATATTTTTAATAACG